GATGTATAAGAGCACGAAACCATCATAATAAGGTGGCTCCAAGGAGCATAGTTTTGTTAAGGAAGATAACCTAAGCTTCTGTTTCCCACTTTAATTACTGAAACCTCTAACATTGAAAAAACTGTCACATAGGAAGGTAAATGTATATAGTTATTCACTCAGGCTTCTCAGAAAGAACACACTTAGCAATCTGGGATAAGGCAGAATGACAGGAAATATAACGTGATTCAACACTGGTTCTTTTTGTCATTTTACACAGACATCATGTTAGTCCAAAACAAGGCACAAAACGTTTAGTGCACACACACCAGCTTCTCTTTTAAGACCTAGCATTTTTATTGTAGTCTTTGATCTTGCTTCGGACCACTTGTACTCAGTACTTTATCCTACTATGGACTGTTTAACTTAGTCAACAAAATCAAAAGTGATTTCTGACCAGATTTATGGGGGACATAAAGATTTATATTATCAAAGTGTTTGCATGACCCAAAGTAAGATAATAAAGATGAAAATTCCTTCTATTTCTTTTAGAAAATAGTACTTTATAAGCTTGCTGCATCTCTAATGTCTTTACTCTTGGATGACAATGAATAGTTGATAGAAAAAAAAGAACTGTAATGGTGTTTTATTTTAAAAATACACTTTCGGGACTTCTCTGGCGGTCCAGTGGTTAAGACTCCCTGCTTCTACTGCAGGGGGCACAGGTTTGATCTCTGGCTGGGGAACTAGGATCCCGCATGCCGTGTGGCCAAACAAACAAACACTTTCTTACTGAAAATTATGAGAATGATGGTGAGATGGGATTGAATTCTCCTACGAAAGTAACTTTGGAATTTTCTTTCTGTAGTTCTATCAGTTGTTGCTTTATATATTTTGATTACATTTATTACGCATATAAATGCATAAAATTATTATATTTTCCTATTGCATCACTTATTTTATTATGTAGTGATCCTCTCTGTATCTAATAATGCTCTGTGTCTTCAAGTCTCTTGTCTGATATTACCGTAGTTAATTTGTTTACTATTTACCTAGTATATATTTTTTGCCTCTTTACTTTCATCCAGTCTGTGTCCTTATGTTGGATAACTTGGTTTCTGATTATCTGAAAATATTCTTTTACCCTCATTTTTGAGAGATGAGTTTTCTGGGTACACAATTCTAGATCAACCAAATTTCTCCAAGTAATCTAAAGATATTTAATTGTCTTCTGGTTTCCTGCTGTTAATGAGTCTTTGATAAGTCTAATTATTCCTTTGAGGTAGTGTGTATTTCTTGAATTGCTTATTGGGATCTCCTCTTTGACTCTTGTGCTGAAGCTGTTAATGTGGATTTATGTTTCCTGGTACATGTTATATTTCTTTTATCAGTGAAATTTGTGCACTTTATATGTTCTGGAGAATTCTCAGCCATTAGCTATTTAAATGCCTCACCTGCTTTCTCTCCATCCCCCTTGAGGAGTATGCTCTCTTTTGTAATTCAGCCTTGCAGTTAAAGATTCAACTCATGACTTCTTTATTCTTTTTAATTAATTTCTTTTGTCAATTCTCTCTTCCGAGCTCTTTGGAGATTTCTTTTACTCTCTCATTTCTGTAAGATCAGCAATGCGACAAAACTATATTCTTCCAGCAGGCGTTGCCCTATTGTTGCTGGTCAGTGTATTGGAAGCAGAGTGATATTAACTGGATTTTTAGTTTTGTCCCATTTTCATTTCGGCTGGATTTCATTGCTAAGCCTTTTTCCCCTTAGGGTTCATGGTTAGCAATCATCTGTTCTTTTATGGTTGAGAATGTATGTATGCTGGTTTTATTTAAGGGTCATTTTGGCTGGGTATTGTATTTTTATCACACTTCCTTTCTCTTAGAACTTTGTAACTATTGATGCATTGTTATCTAGCATTGAATATTTTGAGGATATGTTTGAGGCCAGGTAGATGTATTTCCTCTTGTGTGGCTATTTGTAGTATATTTCCTTTATCTTGGAGGTTCAATAGCTCTAGTTCAGCTGCAGCTTAGTTTTCAGAAATATGGCATACTCTTTCAGTCTTGAAATAACGTTTTCTCTGTTTTAGGGAAATTCTCCTGTGTTATGTCTTTGAGCATATTTTTTGTTCCATTTGTTGGATTCTCTGCTTCAGGGATGGCAATTATCTTTATGCTGTGGAGTCTTTTGTTTTTCAAAGCTGATTCTGTTAGCTTTTTGTGTTAATATTTTTGCCTTTAAAACTGTTTTATTTTATTTTATTTTTTTAAAATCGGTGTTGTTATCTTTGTTTTGTGGTTTCTAAATCATTTAGAGTTCCACAGTAATGAGTTTTTTTGGTTATTTTTATCCCTTAGTTCTGCAACTTCTCTTTTCATTTATTTATTTATCATCTTTTTTATCAGCTCTTGTTTTCTGAATGTTTGTTCTTACTAAATTGTTCTTCTTTATGAAACAGTTGTAAAGAAATTCTTCATTTTATCTGAGTTGTTTCTTTTCCAGCCATGGCCATGGCTTTCTTTTGCTGGCTTTGTTTGTCTGCTCCCCTCCAGAATGTTTAGATAGCTGTTTCACTCTTCGTTTTCATGTGACTGATGCTTGGGCCGCTTAGCCCAGGTGTTGTATTTGTCCTTGACTCTCTTTTCAATAATCCTGAGACAAGTTTGATCTCTCCTTCAAACTCTGATGCAGTGTCTGAGCACATCCTATATGTGCCAGTTTTCTCCAGCATGAGGGATGGTTGGGATGCTGGTGGGGATGATATGCAGGCATATTAGCCTAGCCAGGCTCCATGCTCTCCTTTGAGATTTTGTTAAAGGTTTTATACCACATTCACCCATCCAGTTAGGGAAGTGAATCTCAAACTTTGGATTCTTTTTCTGTTTTTATGTGTATCCCTGGGGGTATCTCCAGCAGAGTCAGGCTCCTTGTTCACTTTCTGTGTGTCATAGTTTGAATGTTCCAGCAGCCATTTTTCTACCTCCACTGTCAGAAGAAGGAGAAAAGGGGTCCTTCAGGGCCACTGACTCCACTGATACGTGTATGGGGGAGAGTCCTTTGCTCTGCAGATTTTGGGCCGAGTTGGGACTGACCTGGGTGGGCTTGTGAGACCCCCACCTCCCCCAACAGCTGTCTCCTCTGACTTCATTTCTTTTCCTTTTCCTCCCTCTTATTTTGTCTGGGAAAAGAAAAAGTCTGTGAGAAGATTTCAATACACCATTTTACCCAGGGCTCCTTTATTTATGTATTTGTATGCATGTATTGTTAAGGGCCCCCCAAAATGCAGTGGTGTCTCAGCTGTTCTGAGGGAACCGAGGAAAGGGCATCCGTAGCCATTGCTGTGGGATGTGGAATTTGGGGGTGCAAGACTGGCACTTCTGCTGTCTCCCAGGGGACCTTCCCTCCTGGGACTCTTGGCAGGAAGGAGGGGACTTCATGGTTGTTTGGAAACTCATGACAGCACTGGCCCCAAACAGAAAACTTCGCAAATTCCATAACTGGGTGATTGGTTAAGTAACTTAAATTCTACAGTAGATTATTATATAGTCTTCAAAAACAATGAGGCTGATCTATAAGTGCTGATATGACAAATAATTTCCAAAAACACTTGTTATATTTATTTATGTCTTTAAAAAAATGAATTAAGAAAACCGTTCGAATAATTTATCTTTTGGGAGAGTGGTTGCATTCTTCCTGTACTTTTTGAATTTCCTAACCATACATATATTTACTTATTTATAATACCAAAAGTAGCTATGTGAGTCTTGGCTCTGTTTTTCTTATACTTTTTTGTCTTAAAAATGGCTCTTATATTATTAAAAATTTTTTAAAAATCCCAATTAACTATATATTGACTCTTCTTAATGGTGTCAAGTTATTGTTTAATCTGAGGTATATTTTCTATTTTGCACATTTATATTCAGCCAGAATTAATTAAGGACTCTCCCCTGCCCCAACCCGCACTCCAAGAAATGACTCATTTGTTACAGAGAATGAACAGGTGACTTAAGTTTTATGGTCTTCTGTGTGTTTGTGACCCTTATTTCTGGTTTAATTGCTACCTTTGAGCCAGAGGGTGCCCTCTTTTGGGCGTTTTCTTTGTTATCAGGGTGGATGGTATTGGATATCAGCACTTTCTCAGAGAACTTTCCATAATGATGCACTTTCTGGCACAAGAAATACTTCCTCATGACCCGTCTCCAAGAGGGTGATTTCTTTTCTTCTTTAATTACACCAGGGATGGAAACATTCTTTCCCATCTGGGTTTTGTCTTTATCGTTTCAGGCCATATAACACTCACCCGGGCACACGTAGGTCTGTTTGCTCGACCTTACCAGGAAGGGCTGGGACAGGGGGATAGGCCTGGCAGCTCAAAGACCAAGGCAGTAAAGTGACAGGAAGTTCACTTTAGTTCAAAGCATCATGACTCAAGAGTCTGAAAGAACAAGACATGCTTTTTAGTGTTGACAGCGTCCTTAACCTAACCTGCAGATTTTTAGGGTTTTGTTTCTGTGGTATTAAATGCCTTGCTTGTTCTGTGTCTGGCTGTAAACTTTTGAATTTGTAAACTGAGTGGAAGCCAATAGAAGAACACTGTCCACCAAAAAACAAGTGAAGAATGATGACAATAAAAATAATCTTGTGATAATTGAGGATTTTCTATTAATTAATTTTTCACTGAGCTATACCTTAGGTATTTCTTTCTCAAATAATTAAATTCTGTGTATAGATGGCAGTTCCTTTTCTTTTGACTTTGAAAATTCAGGGTTATACAAATTATTTCAATCCCTACGGGTAGCTCTTTTGCAGTCTGTGTCAAGAGATTTGACTCCAATAACCTGATTTTTCAGAGTTTGTTCCAGTCTGAAGAAAGTAATTTAAAAGAAAAATTGTTTATACACAAAAAATGAATTGATAGAAAAATGTGAATTATGATATATTCATTTGTAAGAGTGTTAGATAACCAGTAAGAGGATGGTTATGAACCTTGTGTGGCATCATTAGAAAATATTCATAAAATGAAGGTGAGTGGCTGCCACCACCAACTTTGGGAAAATATCTACTTGGATGGAAAAGTCAGGAATGTTAAAATAATTAGAAAAATAAACTAGTGAATTTGTTGGAGTGTGAGAAATATGGACGAAGTTGTTTGTTTAATGTCTTTAATGTCATAAAGTCTGCAATAAATAAATATGTGGAGAAACAGGGAAGGAGCAGAAGCCAGATCTGGTGGGAGAAGGACCGGGAACTGACGGTTGTGAATCTGGATACAGTGACAAGGGAACTGGGGCCATCTCCATGGGGCCTCGTCTCAAATGATTGTTCTCAGGGACACACAGTAGGGATGACAATGACCTCCTTTAAAGGAAGCCTGGTCTGGCCTGTAAACCCTCCTTCAAGAGATGGAGATCCTGTAATGCTTTTCGACTCATTCAAACACTAATTATTTTTTTACAACTTCCCAGGTCCTCTCCCTGGCTGAACTCTTCTGGCCGTGTATTCTGTTTATGATTCTGAGAGTACTTCGTTTTCAAGAACCTCCCAGACATAGAGACAATTGTGAGTTTTACTTTTATTACGCTTTTTGAATTACAAACATCGGAAGAAGAAAACGCAGCATTCTTTTTTTGTTGTTGTCCTTTATAAATTCTGAATCCTGAGTGAAATGAATGGATAGAGTTCTGTTGTAATATCATAATCTCTGTTTCTGGGGTATGTGCCAGTAAGCATCAATTTAGAGTTTTTTCTCTTAAGAATGATATTCACACATGTTTGCTCTATCTAGCAGATAGATTTATTCCTTGAACTAAACTGCCTTAATCTGGGAATAGGTATATAAGTCATTATAGATATAGAAAGAATAGAGGGAGAGGTAAAAGGGGGCAGATGCATTTCAGTTTTTCAACATGATAGTGGTGATGGTGGTGGGATATCGAGGATGGCAATGATGGCGATGATGGTGGTGATGGTGGTGATGGGATGACGACGATAATGATGACGATGATGGTGATGATGGTGATGGTGGTGATGGTGGTGATGATGGTGATAACAATGATAGTAGTGATGCACTGAGAAACCATTATTAATAACTTTCTCTGCTCCAGGAGCTTTATCAGCAAGACCATTTTGTTTATCTGGTTTGAAACCTCAACAACATCACTCCTTGAGAAATGATTGCCTATTTCGTTTCTATGAGACTCACGCCCACTTGAAATATGGATAATGTGGTTAATTCTAAAAATGTTACATGAATAAAAATTACTAAGGGATGGTTTTTATCTAAAACAGTATGTCACCATTCACAATAGTGAATTAATGTATTTATTCATTTGGCAAATAATGTTTTGAGTGCCTTCGTGTCCCAGGCCTTGCTGAGGATGAAGTTGTGGACAAGGTATTTTCCCTGCCCTTCCAGGACTTACTGTAGGGCCAGACTATTATGATCAGTGGGACAATGGCATGATAGGACTCTGTAGAGGGTGCATGTGAGCACAGAGGAGAGGTGGCCGCTCCATTCTAGGGAAACGCTTCTGAGGAGTTAGCAAATGTGAAACTTTTTCAGATAAAAGAGTTCAAGGGAGGAAGGATCTGGGCAGGGCAGACAGCGTGGGGAAGATTGGAACTAAAAGGAGTTCAGTATGACTAAGGAGCAGAGTGTGGTCGGAGGAACAAGCAGGTTCAGATCAGTAAAGACTTTGAAGGGTGTTGAGGGTGGTGACTTCCCAAAGGGCACCGAGCAGCCACCAAACGGTTTCAGGGAGGTCCTCCTGGGAGGAGTACGTGGGGCTCTAGGTGCAGGCAGAGGTGCATTTGAGATGGGGGGCTGGGCACCGGGGAACACAAGGTGAGTCATGGGACACTGCGTCACCAGGCCTGGCCTGAGTGGGAGGAAGAGGACAGGCTCCTTAGAGGCGAAGCGGGGACCACAGTGGGCTGGGGCTTGTGAGGAGAGGGGGCCTCCCGCCGGGACACCTGGGTGGAGGGGCACCCTTCTGAACTGAGGACACACAGGAGGGGCTCGGGGGCTGTGCTCCGTGTGGCCGGGAGGACCCCCGAAGGGGAGAAGCTCCTGGGACCAGGCCTCGTGAGGGGCACACGGGGGGCAGGCCAGAGGGACAGGAGGAGGCCATGGAGCCACGTGGGGAGCACTCAGGTTGGCCACGGTGAGCAGTCACAGGTGTTGTTGCCACGTGGGCAGAGGGAGGGCTGACATGTCCTGTCGGGGGCATTGGTGCCATCGCCCAGGGTGGCTCGGTGGGTGGGGACATGGAAGACAGGCTGCAGTGACATGAAGAATGATGTGGAATTTGCAGTGAGAAACTGTAAGGCCTGAATAAATAATTCCTTCTCAGTTATATCAACTGTCAGTCTTTTTTTTTTTTTTTTTGGTCGCGCCGGGCAGCTTGTGAGATCATAGTTCCCTGACCAGGGATCTAACCCACACTCCCTGCAATGGAAGCATGGAGTCTTAACCACTGGACCGCCAGGGAAGTCCTCAACTGTCAGTCTTGATCTAAATATGCATTCTGAAAGTGGACAGGGGTATTTTGGAAAAGTCTTTTTAAAAAAATAGCGTGTCATTTATATACTTTAAAAATGCAAGGGTACAAAGCTCCTTTCACAAGGTTGTGTGCATGCATATTTGAGGACCTGTAGCAAACGCACTGGGTGTGGCTTGCGTCAAGGTCTGGGCAGGAAGTGGGGAGGCAAAGGGGAAAGTGAAAAGAGACAACAAACAGAAGGGCCTTGCATGGGCCCCGAGGTCAGGGAACAACATGCAGGAGAAGTAAGGCAGGGCCGCTGCTGGGGGCAAGACAGCAGGCGGGAACGTCGGTGTCACAGGTGGATGACGTGCCATCAGGGGCTGAGGGCCAGACCCCGGTCAGCAGTGGCTGATGAAGATCTCGAGTGGTTCCATCACTGATAACAGAGCATCAAGTCTACAGCGCCATGTGCTACAGGGCGGCCCCGGCACGTGGGACCAGCAGCCTAGGATGTTCCTTATGCTAAAGGATGATGCCCGTCCTGAAGCATTTACCCAAGCTCTTACTTTTCGTCAGGAGTACAGTCCCGACGAAGAAGTGGCCTTGGGAACATCGGAGATGTTTTTTAGAAGCTGACGCAGATGAGCGTGTGCAGGGAAGAGAAGACTTTGTCTCAGTCTCAGAGGGGTCCTGAGCCCAAATCACTGAGGACCACACTTTGAAGCCCCATCTGCCACACCCTGATGTGTGAGCCCAGGCGAGGGGTCTAGCCCTGTGAGCCTCTTTTCCATAAAGGCCGCTGATTTTACCTGCCTTCAGGGCTGCACCGAGGACTCAGTGAGAAAGCCGGTCCCGAGCCTGTGCCCGGCACAGGGTGTGGCCCAGAGGAGATGACCAGCAAACATCCACGCCCGTCTCTCGCACGCCCGCTGTCCTGGGGTGGCCGGTGTTACTGTACACCCCGTTTAGGTGACCACCGTTCCTGCCGTGTCCCCGAGGGAGACGGGAACAGAAATCACAGTTACTAGCTGGAATGTGACCCCATCCCTTCGTGGTCTCCAGTGCTAGGACAGGGCCGGGTCCTGAGTTGAGAACTCCCCTGCCCCTTCAGCTGAGAAGCCTACTCATTTGTCTTTCCTTCATTCATCGAACATTTACTGACTGTCATGGGCAAAGCACTGAGCTGAATGCTGGGCGTAGCGGGTTCCCAAGTCCCAGAGAGTAAGATTATCGCCGAGACCAAACCAGACTGGAGGGGAAAGCCTTTCACCAGGGTTTTACGAGCTACAGCATACTGGGTTAGTGCTGGTTGAGCTGTCTGCACTCGTCAGCACCCCGACTCTTCCGTCCATATGGTGATGTGAAGGGGGAGTGGGGGGCCCATGTGACCAGCAGTTTATGGAGGAAAGTGGCTTATTTTAATTTAATTTTATTTTTTAACTGAAGTGTAGTTGATTTACAATGTGTGTCAATCTCTGCTGTACAGCAAAGTGACTCAGTTATACACATATAGACATTCTTTTTTTTCATGTTCTTTTCCATTATGGTTTATCCCAGGATATTGAATATGGTTCCTTGTGCTGTACAGTAGGACCTTATTGTTTATCAATCCTATATGTAATAGTTTGCATCTGCTGAGCCCAAACTCGCAATCTATCCCAATCCCCCCACATGCTTGGCAACCACAAGTCTGTTCTCTATGTCTGTGAGTCTGTTTCTGTTTCACAACTAAGTTCATTTGTGTCATATTTTAGATTCCACATATATGTGATATCGTATAGTACTTGTCTTTCTCTGTCTGACTTACTTCACTTAGTATGATAATCTCTAGGTCCATCCATGTTGCTGCAAATGGCATTCTTTTGTTTATTTTTATGGCTGAGTAATATTCCATTTTAATATATGTACCACATCTTCTTTATCCATTCATCTGTCAATGGACATTTAGGTTGTTTCCAGGTCTTGGATATTGTGACTATTGCTGCTATGAACATTAGGGTGCATGTGTCTTTTTGAATTATGATTTTGCCCAGATATATGCCCAGGAGTGGGATTGCTGGGTCATATAGTAATTCTAATTTTAGTTTTTAAGGAAGCTCCATACTGTTCTTCACAGTGGATGCACCAACTTACATTCCCAGCAACAGTGTAGGAGGGCTCCCTTTTCTCCAGGAAGTGGCTTTATTGTACCAACATTTGTCCTGAAAGACCTTGGACCCTATCTGTTTTTTCTAAACATCTTTGCATTAAATCATCTTTAGCAACTACACTTAAACATTACGAATCCAAGGTGTGTGAGACTTGAAAAATTTCCCAGACTAAGAATTCCTCCGTTTTTTGTATGAGACGAGAGGAAGTGTCTGCTCTGTTTCTTCCCGCCTACGGCTTGTTCACAGCATCCACAGGTGAGGGTGCCTGACAGAGATATTGACACTCCTCTGGCAGGAAGATGCGGCCAGGCAGAGCTGTCCTGGCTTGAAGCCTGTGTGCAGACCCTGGGGGAAAGCGGTTATTGCAAACGGTTTCTTACCTTTTTTCTTTTTTCTGGTTGGACTGCTCAGATCTCCTTTAAATAAACAACAGGATTAATAATATAACAACATGGTATTACATGTTACTGAATTCACCAGGTATTCCATTTCTGGGACCAGTCATATGGACTCATTTCTGCCTTGTATCCACATCCAGGTTATTTGCAATCCCGGGATCTGCCTAGCCGGGGCATTTTCCCCTTTGTCCAAGGCCTTCTCTGCAACACCAGGTCTAGGTGCAGGAACACAAGCCATCAATGGGCCACAGAGCAGCATTTTTGGTAAGAGAAACACAAACATCCTTTTCAGAATTCATGGGAAGATGCTGTATAGAACAGGCATGAGGCTTTTCGTACAGCTTCCATCATTTGGGATGAGCCAGAGATCATAAACAGCACAGAATTTAGAGTTACTAGAAAATCAGTTTCATTAAATTCAGACTCACATGAAAACAACTCCAAGTAATGGTTCATTTCCAGTAGCAGGACTTTCCACTGCTGTTAAAAGAATCACGAAGTGATTACTGATTAGCAGACGTCATAGTCTGTTTTCTGTAGGTTAAAACTCTGACCTCGAAATCACCTGCTTAGCCAGCTGTTCATTTTGGTGCCAAATGCCCCAAAACAAGTACATGTTTGAGTTACCCTCTGGGCTTTTCCTGCTGTGCTGTTTTGGACCAGCATCCTGTTCGCGGCTGAGATACAATCGAGCCACTCACCTGGACCAGGTGACAGTAGCTGTTGTGACTCTAGATGCTGAACCAGACTTGTGTTTGCCTGTGGCAACAGTTTGCACCAAAGACCAAAAAGAGAAAGCGGGAGGTATTTTGTGTGAAAAGAGTCAAAATAAAGGGGGTTTTAACTTAGAGCACGCTGGAGGCTCTGGAAACTTCTCTCAGCGGAGTTAGGGATGAAAGGAAGTGACTGATTCATCAGGTAGTTTCAGTTTTTCTCGTGTGAATAATCTGGCTTTGCTTCCTCTCTCCTTTCTGGTGTTGAACAATCTAACATATTTAAGTGTAAAGCCTGTTAAAATATGTGATCTTTACCTTTCAACTGTAAGTTACAAGAAGAGAATGAAAAGTTTCTAGATAATTTTGGACACATCTGGTACAATATTTGTCAACGGTTCTTACATTTTTTTGAGAGAGGTAATATAAAAGTATGATATTAAGAAAATCATCTGGACGTAGTCTAAAATCATAACCCTGAAATACTTGGTGGTCTTTTTGCATGTGTGGAGAGGAAAGTGCCTTCCTGGGAAAATTAGAAGCGATTGAAGCTGATCAGAGTTTCCATTTCAGGTCTTTCTTATATCTCTTCGTTGCTCAGAGTGGGAAATTTGAACGTAGTTGAAGTCGGAAAAGTGGGGCTTTGCACCCAAACTCTACCTGCCCTGTCACTTCTTGTGTGCATCTGTGCAATTTCCTTACTGTCTCTGCATCTGCTTCTCACTCACCTTCTCCTGTTGTGAGTGTTAAAGTAGGTGGTAAGGAAGCCCTCCCACGGTGGGAGGTAACAGTCACCCATCCTTATTGCTCTGGCTGTAGCAGTCACACTGGAGTCTCCACATCGGGAAAGAGCTCGGCCCTTGTCCTCCCCGTCCACTCTGCATCCTCACCTCCACTTGCTGACACCAGGTGATCCCACAGGCTGTTTCAGAGCCTTGGACGCTGATGGCCAAAAACAGGTCCTCCCGGGCCTAGTGGTGTCTGAGGCCGAGGTCTTTTTTTTTTTTTTAATTGGGGTATAGTTGCTTTACAATGTTGTGTTAGTTTCTACTGTACAGCAAAGCGAATCAGCTCTACATATACACAAATCCATCTTTTTTGGATTTCCTTCCCATTTAGGTCACCACGGAGCACTGAGTTCCCTGTGCTCTACAGTAGGTTCTCATTAGTTATCCATTTTATACGTAGTATCAATAGTGTATATAGGGAAGTCTCTGTTCTCCCATATAAATTTTACAAACTTGTTGTCAAGGTCAATGAAAAAACTGTATTGGGATTTTTATTGGAGTTGCGTCAAATCCAATGACATGACACGTCCTTAATTTACTTTATAGCTTTATAATATTTTTGCATAAAAGCCATGCATATTTTTTGTTAAGTGTGATATGATTATAGTTTTATTTTGCATTTCCTTAATCATGAGTGATGTTGAGCGTCTTTTCGTATGTTTATCGGCCCTTTGAATTTTTTTGTGTATAAAGTGCTTGTTCAAATCTTTTTACAATTTTTTTAATTTTTAATTTTACTGAATTCTTAGAGTTCTTTACATATTTTGATTGTAAATCATTTATCAGAAAGATGTATTGTGAATATTTCTGTCAAGTTTCTGACCTGTCTTTTGAAAAGCAGAGGTTTTTTCCATTTTGATGAAATACAGTTTATCACCTTTTTCTGTTTTGGTTTGTGCCTTAAAAAAATCTTTTTTGAATAGAAATATAGTTGATTTATAATGTTGTGTTAGTTAGGTGTACAGTAAAATGATTCAGTTATACATATATATATATATACATGTATATAAATGTGTATATTCTTTCTTTACGTTCTCTTCCATTATAGGTTATCACAAGATATTGAGTTTAGTTGCCTGTGTAGGGAACTCTAGTAGGTCCTTGTTGATTATCTATTTTATATATAGTAGTGTATATATTTTAATCCCAAACTCCCAATTTATCCCCCTCCCCCCTCTTTGGTAACCATAAAGTTATTTTCCATGTCTGTGAGTCTATTTCTGTTTTGTAAATAAGTTCATTTGTATCCTTTTTTTAGGTTCTACATATAAGTGGTGTGATATGATATTTGCTTTTCTCTTTCTGACTTACTTCGCTAGTATGATAATCTCTAGGTCCATCCATGTTGCTGCAAATGGCATTATTTCATTCTTTTCTATGGGTGAGTAATATTTCATTGTATATATGTACCACATCTTCTTCCTCCATTCATCTGTTGATGGACATTTAGGTTGCTTCCATGTCATGGCTATTGTAAATAGTGTTGCTTATGAACATAGGGGAGCATATATCTTTTCCAGTTAGAGTTTTCATCTTTTCTGCATATGTGCCCAGGAGTGGGATTGCTGGGTCATATGGTAGCTCTGTTTT